TCCTCCGCTGCCTGCTGGCCATGCACTGCCTCCACACCTTTTGGACGGCTCCGCCCCCGCCCCGGGGCACCTGCCCGAAGAGCTCCCGGACGGCCGAAAACGCCCCCGCCCCCCCCCACAGGCCCCAAGAGGCCCCCAAGCTGGTCCAAGAGGCTCCTTTCCTCTCTCCTTTCCTTCTTCGCTCTTTCATCCTCTCTCCTTTCCTCTTGCCGCTCCCTGATCCTCCGCCACTCCTCCTCCGCTTGCCCTTCCTCCTCCCAGCTACGACCGCGGCTGCTGCTCCTCTCGGCGCCTGCCCGCGTCTCGGGGGAGCGGGGGCGCCCTTGACGTCGGGATGTCGTGAGTCCGCCGATGCTCACTGAGGCGTCCTAAGATGCATCCTAGATGGCCCATTGGCGCTCCAAGAGGACCCGAGATGGCTTGTAGACGGCAAAGGGCCCTCAAGACGGCCCGAGAGGCCTCCAAGAGGCGCGAATCGCTTCATCCCCTTCGGGATAAGCTTATCCATCTGTATATATCATGTCTATATATATATAGATATGTATTAGCAGATTCGGTTCTTCGGTCCTAACCGCGTCCAAGACGACCCAAAAAGGTCCCCAAGGTCGCCCCGAGAAGTCCCCAAGAGGGCCCCAAGACGGCCCAAGAGGGTTCCAAGACGGCGCAGAAGAGCCCCAAGACGGCCAGCCCAATACAGGCCACAGAGGGCCCCAGAAAGGGGCCCAAGGGAGCACCAAGAGGGCCATATGAGGCCCCCTAGACGGCCCGAGAGGGCCCCGCGACAGCCCAGAGACAGCCCAAGCCCCAAAAGACAGCCCAAGAGGGCCCCAGGACGGCCCGAGAGGGCCGCCAGCCGGCCCAATAGGGCCCCAAAAGGACCCCGAAGAAGGCCCAAGAGGCCCCTAGAGTCTCCCGACATGTTCCCCAAAGGCTTCCAGAAAGCTTCCCAATCGGCCTCCAGAAGCGCATGGGAGGTCTCACGTCTACGTCCGGCGCGGCATTCCCAGAAAAGGCTTCCAGAGGCCCTCGATTCGCGAGCCACGCAGGGCTTCCAGAGGCCCCGCAGAAATGCGCCGCGAGGCCCCGACGGGCACCCGAGATGCCCCGAACTCACGATCCAGGTCGGAGGTTGGCCGCCATGGCGGCGCGACGGTCCCAGCGGCGTGACCGCGACCCCCGTCGCGATCATGTCCGCGCCCTTCACTGGGCGGCCGCCGTCTTATCCCCCGAGACAGCTCATTCACACTCGCTTCGGCCAGCTGTAGGCCGGCTGGCGCCATGAACGCCGAGGACCCACAAAGTCCCCTCAAGTCTGAGACCCTCCCCCCAAAGCGCCCAACCAAAGCCCGGGCCACCTCCTGAACGATGGCACGTCAGTCGGCTGCTACTCGTCCTCGTTCGCTTCCTGCTCTGCATCCTCTGCGCCGCCTTCTATTTCGTCATCGTCTTCCATGTTTGCCCCATCGTCGTCGGCCGGCTGTATGCCAGTCGGCGCCGTGAACGCCGAGGCCCCCTGAAGCCCACTCAAGCCTCATACACTCCTTAGCTACAGGTGTCCAAACAACGCCCAGACCACCTCCAAAACGAGCGGACATTAGTCATCGTCATCGTCTTCCACCGTCCACGAAAGACCGAGAGGGCCGCGAGATGTGCAAACCAACGATTTCTCCAAACCTGCTGATGGCTTCAGATTTGGTGCACACGGCCCCCCAAGCGCCCCAGAGGCTTCCAAGTGGCCCTTAGAAGCGCGGAGGCCCCAAACGCACGTCAGAAGCTTTGAAGCTTTGACCACGACAACGAGCTTGTCATTGTGTGCCCCTCTTCTCGCAGTGGGGCCCGCCACCCCTTTTCCGAGCGATAACCTTCGCCCAACTCGCGGTCATCAGCGTCGCCGACTCGTCGCACCGACCCCTGCTCCTCGCCGACGACCCTCGCGTCCACCCCGCCCCCACTGCCAGCAGCCCCCGCTCACGCCCATGGTTATAGTTTTTCGACCTCGTGACTTGTACAGTCGAGGCGCTGAAGACGGAACCCTTTTCGTTGGGGAGTGGCTCAGTGTTTCTTGATTGTTGCCTGGTTTGTCGTAGGTGCTCCTTAGCGTGTCGGTGGGAAGCCGAAGTTTAATCTATGGAAAGACAGGGCCTCGTTCTTTATTTATCGCTCCTTTAAGGAGCTCCTATGAAAAGACGGGGCGTCGACTTAATAAGTCGACGCCCCGACTGTAACTTTTCGCGGTCATCGCATCCGCTCTCTCGCTGACGCTAGCGCATTCCGTCGTGGCCTTTTCCCTCTTCTGGCGGCTGCGGGGCCGCTTGTGCCGTCGTGCCCGTCCTCCTCGCCGTTCTCTGCTTCCTTCGCTTCCTCTTCGTCCTCGCCGCTCGGACTGCGGATCGCTCGTTTCTGCTTTGCTCCGTCGACGCTCATGGCGTTGCTCCTTCAGCGCCATGACCGTCGCCCCCCTCGCGGTCGCGACTTCATCCCACTTCGCACGCGTGACGGTGGCACCGTCACGCCGATGCCCCCTCGCCCCAGCCAAAGACATGATTGTGGGCCATTCTGGGATGATGACCGTGACCCCCCTCGTGGTCATCATCTGCTTTCACAAATCACTCATCCACCGAAGGGTCGGGAGTGCATGGGCGCAGGGCTTCATGTCTTGTGTATATATATATGTGAGAGAGATATTCAAACACACGAGAGAAACACATACACTCACACATCGGTGCATCTGTATATCTATATATATGTATATCGGGAAAGAGAGGGAGAGAGAGAGAGAGAGATATACAAGAGATACATACACACATATACAGAGAGAGGGAGAGAGATAAGTAAAGAGAGAGAGAGATATAGATGCATATACCGAGAGATAGAGAAAACTAGCTAAGCGATATATATATATATATGTGTATATGTATATATATAGAGAGAGGGAGAGAGAGATAACGAGAGAGAGAGAGAGAGAGGGAAAGAGAGAGCGAGAGAGAGAGAGAGAGAGATAGAGAGAACAAGAGAGAAGGCTATATAGACATGCAGTAGTACATATGTATATATAGGCATGCCCGGAGAGAGAGAGAGATGTGTATATATATACATATAGAAGGGTTGAAAGAGGCATACTGCTACACGATCTATATACGTATACATACAGGTAAAGAGCGAGAGAGAGGGAGGTAGAGGAAGAGAACGAGAGAGAGAGAGAGAGACACATATATATATATATATATATAAGTACATAGAGATACTACGATCGCGATAGCGAGGGAGAGAGAGAGAGAGAGAGAAAGAGAACAGGGGAGAACGAAAGACATAGAGAGAGAGAGAGAGAGACACAATCCTTATCCTGGCGAAGGGCCCAACCATATGCAGTTGTGAGTCACGCAAGTGTTGGTATCGTCTTCGGCGGAGCTCATTATGGGGCACGAGACGTGTGAGGGTTGTGCCAACATGGGCGCGGTGGCGTCATGCGAGCGCAGCCACTGGGGCCTTCGGTGGAGCTCCCTATAGGGCCACGAAACGCGTGGTGTGAGGGGTGTGCCGGCATTGGTGCGGTTGTGTCATGCGAGCGTAGCCACTGAGGCCTTCGGAGGAGCTCCTTGTGGGACCCCCAAACGTGTGAGGGGCGTGCCGACATGGGTGCGGTGGTGTCATGCGAGCGCAGCCAGTGGGGCCTTCGGTGGAGCTCCCTATGAGGTCACGAAGCGTGTGATAGGTGTGCCGAAATGGGTGCGGTGGGGTGAGTCGAGCGCAGCCAGTGGGGCCTTCGGTGGAGCTCCCTGTGGGGCCACGAAACGTGTGAGGGGTGTGCCGAAATGGGTGCGGCCTCGTGGGCCTCTTTCGGGGCCCTTGGGGCCCTGCTGCAACCTGGAGGGCCCACTGGTGGTGGAGGGCTCGAAATCTCAGTTGGAGTTCCCCCTCTTGGACTCCTCTTGGGGCCGTCTTGGGCCGTTTTGGGCGCCTCTTGGACCGTCTTGGGGCTCTTTAGGGCCGTCCTGGGGCCCTTTTGGACGCCTCTTGGGCCGTCTTGGGGCAATATGTAAAGTCTTTTGGGCCGTTTTGGACGCTGGTAAGAGACCCAAAGGGTGAACATGTTCAACATTGTCTCTTCCATTGGGAGTGTGACAATTTTCGCCTCGTGGGGCCCTCTCGGGGCGCATCTGGGAGCAGTCTTAGGACATCTTCGGGGCCACTGGACCCGTTTTGGGCGTCTTTGGCTTTGTCAGGCCACTATTGTCGAGTTTTGGCGGGCGCAGCCACTGGGGCCTAGGGTGGAGCTCCCTATGGGGCCACGAAGCGTGTGAGGGGTGTGCCGAAATGGGTGCGGTGGTGTCATGCGAGCGCAGCCATTGGGGCCTTCGGTGGAGCTCCCTATGGGGCCACGAAGCGTGTGATGGGTGTGCCGAAATGGGTGCGGTGGTGTCGTGCGAGCGCAGCCATTGGGGCCTTCGGTGGAGCTCCCTATGGGGCCACGAAACGTGTGAGGGGTGTGCCGAAATGGGTGCGGTGGTGGTGTCATGCGAGCGCAGCCAGTGGGGCCTTCGGTGGGGCTCCCTATGGGGCCAGAACGCGTTGTACTGGGTGGGGAAACGCAGGGAGGAGGGAGTAGGGGGAGGAGAGGGAGGAGGAGGAGAGAGGAGGAGAGATGAGGTACGCGGGGGCCGTCCCTTCACAATGGGACCCAACACCGCAGGATGGTTGGGAAAAATGAGAAAGAGACAGAGAGAGAGAGGGAGCTCCCATCGTGCTGGTTGCGGGGCTCCGGACGTGGGGGCCAGGCCCCGCCCGTCAAGAAGAGGCGCGTCAAGGTCACCGTCCTGGGCGAGGACGGCAGCTGGCAGGAGGACGAGGAGAGCGTCGAATGCAGCGACGACGGTGCGCGTGAGGAGCTGCTCGGGAGGAGGAGGAGGAGGAGGAGGAGGAGGAGGAGGAGGAGGAGGAGGAGGAGGAGGAGGAGGAGGAGGAGGAGCTGCTCGTGGCGAGAGGGCCCGGCCCGTGAGGAGCTGCTCGGGGGCGGGGCGAAGACGACGCCGGCGGGCGACAAGCTCCTCGCCCCCGACCCCCGCGAGCAGGCAGCCGAGGTCAAGGACTCCGACGAGAGCGAATCGGACGAAGAGGTGGGGCGCGAGCAAAAAGTGGAACGGCGTGTTGGCGATTTCGGGGGCAGTTTTCGGCTTGGTCTCGTTTTCCGGCAGGGGCGCACCGAAAAAAGAGAGTGGGGACGGAACCCCCTTTTTTTGGTTGTTTTTTTGGCCTCGCGCCCTGCCAAGAGGTCGCCGCGTGGGCGTGGGTGAAGGCCCCCGCCGCGAGCGGGGCGGCCGATGCCGGCGCCGCGGGCGCTGCCGCCGCGCAGGCTGCCCGCGCGGCCACGGCGGAGGTGCTCGCCGTGCGCGCGGCCCGGGCGGCGCACGGCCCGCCGCCGCGGCAGCCGGGGCCGCAGCCCGCGCTGCAGCAGGGCCTGGCCCTGCAGCTGGGCCATCGGGCGAAGAGAGCTATGCACATGCACCGATCCTGGCAAGGTCCATCCTTGACCCAGGATCGGTGCATATGCCTTCCTGGCCAAGGTAGGAGGGCGTATGCACCGATCCTGGGCTCAGGATGGGCCTGGCCAGAATCGGTGTATGTGCATAGTTCTCTTTCCTCTAGGCCAGGGGCCGCCCGCCGCCGCCACGCAGGGCGCGGCGCCCGGCGCGGCGAAGTCCGCCGCGCCCGCGCCGGCGGGGCCGCTGCAGGCGGCGCGGGCGGACCTGGCGGCCCAGAACGCCGCGGTCCTGGCGCAGGCGCAGGCTCGTCACCACCCACCAAAGCACCCCAACCCAACCCGAGGGCCTCCATTTGCCCTCCATTTCCAGTTTGGGGGGGGGTCGGGGAACATGGAAAAAACACATATGGAACCCGTACCCCCCCCAACCCGAAATTCGAGTCTTCGGGTTGGGTTGGGGTTGTCTGGTAGGTAGTCAGGCTCAGGCGCAGGCGCTGGCGGCGCAGCAGGCCCTGCAGGCGCCGGCCGCGCCAGGGCCTGTCGTGCCTGGGCCGCAGGCCGCGGTGGCGGCCGCGGCGCAGGCGACCGTGCTGGTGCTCCACGGCATGTTCAAGGCGGCGCAGGTGAGCGGCGCAAGGAAACAGGGGTCGACTGCGCCGACAGCTCCGCGTAAGCCTCTTGCGTGAGGTCGCGCGTAAGCGCCCTTTTCTCCACGCGGTGTGCCAAGCTGGCGGCCCGCGTACACCGCGGCATCATATCGCTATGCCATCTGGCGTAAGACCTGCATTTTGTCGTCGCTCAGGTGAACCTGGCGACGCACCCAGCGTTCTTCGACGAGATACACATGGACGTCGCGCAGGAGTGCTCGAGGTTCGGCTCCGTCCTGAGCGTGTGGGTGGACCGCGCGAGCGACCAGGGCGACGTGTGGGTGCACTTCTTGGACGCTCAATCTGCCTCCAATTGCCGGACAGCCCTCGATGGCCGCTGGTTCGCTGGTATCCAGGTGGGTGCCGAGTTCAGCTCGGAGGTGGCCTTGGCGCAGAGGATGGCGGCCGCCACAGCCACACCGGCTTCAAACCAGGGCAGCACGGCCACCAGGGTCGGTACTTGGACGTAAAGCCGGACGTGCCTGCTGTGAGGGGCCAGTTTTATAGTTATTCTGCTGTCCCTCTTTGTACCAAGTGGAGCTGACAGGTGTCGTTGCGAGAAAGGCATTGCCGCGAAGCAGGTAGGGACCCCAATCAAGTGTTGACCCCAAACAGCACATTCGAAGCTTGCGGTCGAGCTTATCTCTTTCTATTCATGCCACGTGCGCGCTCCTCCTCGTCCTCGTCCTCGCCGTCGTAATCCTCCTTCTGGCTCCTCTTGTATTCTCCCTCCTCCTCATCCCTTTTTCCTCCTCCTCCTCCTCCGCCTCCTCCTCCTCTTCCCCTTTCCCTTTGCTCGTCGTTTCTCCACCTCCATCTCCGCCTCCTTCTCTTCCTCCTCGTCCCCACCAGTCGTTGCCTCGCCCCGCCCAGTACCTTTCTCATCCGCACGCCTTGCCCAGTGTCACGCCACGCAGGAACAGTTACAGCGACACGTCACTGTACAGATTGCCCAGGAATCGCGCTCTCTCTCTCTCTCTCTCGCCAAGGATTTCCTCACAATTTACACGGGAATCACGCTCTCGCTTGTGACTTCCTCGTAATCGATTTGGGAATCGCGCTTCAATGTCCCGCTGGCTCGACCCGCCCGCTGGGTCCGCCCACCCGCCCGACCCATTCGTGCCCTCGCAGCGGCACTCGTTGTGTACCCCAGGGGGCGGGGTCTGCGGTGGCACCCTTCAAAAAATCGGCTCACATCCACGCGCCCAGCGCCATGTGAAACCTCGCACCTCGCAAGACCCTGGGGTCGGCGGAAGACGCTCGGAGCGCCCCTCAGGCGACCCAAAAGATGAGAACGCTCCAACACGGCCCCGGGCAACACGAGCCGAAGGTCGCCCCAGGCTGCTCTCAAGCCGGCCCTGGAGGGCCCCATGCACCCTCCTGCAGGTTTGCAAGCAGCCCCACATCTGGTTTGCAATCATGGGGAACTTGTTGTGTTTCTAGATTGTGAAGGCCTGACGGCCAGTGCCGCCGACCCTGAAAGACATCGACGACGACCAGGAGAGGGAGGAGGAGGAGAAGGAGGAGGAGGAGGCGGAGGAGGAGGAGGCGGAGGAGGAGGAGGAGGAGGACGCGGAGATAAGGAGGAGAAGGAGGAGGAGGAGGAGGAGGAGGAGGAGCAGGAGGAGGAGGAGGAGGAGGAGGAGGAGGAGGAGGAGGAGAAGAAGAAGAAGAAGAAGGTGGAGGAAAAGGACTCCCCCTGGGCCCCCCCACCTTGATTTGGTTTGGTTGTCCGCTTCCGTTTTTCCTATCATGAACCTCAAGGGGGTGCATAGGCTCCTCGAGGCCCAGGAGGCCCCAAAGCGGCACACGAGCCTCCCAAGACGGGCCGAAGATAGTTCTGAGAGACGCCCCAAGAAGCTCCAGGAGGTTCCCAAGGAGAGGCCCACACCGTCTGCGTAGCCATTTTGTTCTACGGCGAAAGCCCTGTTTCGAGAACGGCTCGCCTCCCGTTCCAGTCCTGCAACTAGCACAACATTTTGAACGAATGTGCGCGGCGTTAAGAAGAGAGTCATACTTTAAGAAGCCGCTGTCCATCCTGAAAGCTGTTGCAGCATTTAAGACGAATGTGCGCGGCGTTCAGGCGAGTGCACTACTCTGAAAGCCATCCCCGTCCATACTTGAGGCAGGCTGATGCAGAGGTCTAAGACGAATGTGCGCGGCGCCCAGGCGAGAGACACGTTTTGAAAACGACCACCCCTCCTCATAGTTGAAGCTTTTACAAATTTCGACCTTCAGGATCTCTGGCCAAACGCCCGGCCGCCCCATCGACACGTTTGGGGGTGCGACAACGAGAAGGCATTTATAAGCAGAAGTGGTGGTGGAGGAGGAGGAAGAGGGAGTAAGAGGAGGAGGAGCGTGATGATGAGGCCAGGGCGGAGACGGGGCGGAGACTCCTCTCCGCTCCTGCTTCCTACTTCCGACGGGTATCTTCTGGGGTGGGCGCGCACATGTCTAGGGCTGAACAGAAGCTTCGCCAACGCCGAGCGAGCAGCCTCGCAAACGCTAGCCTGGCAGCAGTGCAACTGAAGCCGCATGCCTGCCACGGTTAGCTTTGTTGCAGTGAGCGGCTTGAACGAGGAACGCCTGCTTTTCAAAAGGGGCTCGGTCGCTCCTCCCGTCTGCGTGCGTTGCTTATCGTTCTTTCTGCGTAGTGCATTACGTGTCGTTCCTTATGCGTTACCCCTTTGGAAGACAAGGGGCTTCGTTCCTCATTCCTCGTTCCTCAGGTCAGGCCGACGAAGGCTCGAGGTTAGAGTTAAGTCGGGCCTGTCCCCCTACAGGGGGATTTTCGACGAAAAATGAAAAAGACCCCAAACTAGTCAACAAATAGTCCAAAAATAGTCTGGGGACTATTTTTTTCAGTATTTTGTGATCTTTTTTGGGGCATTTTCGGGGTATCTTTTATGTTTCGTCGAAAATCCCCCTGTAGGGGGACAGGCCCCGACTTAAGGTTAGAGGTTTGTGGAAGTGTCGTTCCTTATGCGTTACCCCTTGGACGAAAAGGGGCTTCGTTCCTCATTCATCGTTCATCAGGTCAGGCCGACGAAGGCTCGAGGGGAGGGGGAGGGGGACGATGAGGAAGAGTAGAAGGAGGCAGAATATCCGGTTGGCTAGAGGTTTGTGGACGTGTCTTGAGTCTTGGCGTTCTCCAGGGGGGGCCCGTCGCCACGGCCCAGCCCGCCGAGGTAATCGAGAGCAGGTCCTCCTGTGCAGCAGAGGTGATGCATCGCTCGACCACCTCACTTAACGTTCCGTAGGTCTAGGTCGGGCCTGTCCCTCTACAGGGGGATATTCAAAAGTAGTGAAAACATATTCGGGGGACTATTTGTTGAGCATTTTTGACCCTTGTGGGGGTATTTTTTGAGGACGTCTTCTTCTTCGTCGAAAATCCCCCTGTAGGGGGACACGCCCGACTTAATCTTAGGTCAGGCCGGTGACTGTACGTCACTCCCCTTCGCAGCCTCGCCCTTCGGCGGCGCCCACCGCAGGTCTGACTCGTGGCGCCCGCCGCCAAGAGAGAGGAGTCTCGGACCGTCGGGCCGCCGCCCTGCAGAAGCAGCATGCCCCTGCGGCAGCTCGACCATCTTCGACACGCAGTGGGGCCTCGATTTTCTGGCGATCGTTTTCTCATTCGTTGTTTTGCCGATCGGCGCGGGTCCTCGCACCCCCACCCCCTCCCCCCCCACCTCCGTGGAGTAGATCTTGGCTGTGTTTGGCGCGTGTTTCGGGCAGGTGGAGCCTCCCCCACAGGACGCCCTGCTGCAAACAGTCGCACTAAGCAGAGGTCCAGAGCCAGACCCCCCCCCTCTCCCCCCCTTCCGCCCAATGTCGAAACGCCGAATACAAAAAACGGTAACGTGTTTGCGCTGCTCGTGTTTTTCTGCTTGTCGTTCCTGCTCTCGCCTCCTCTGCGGCCGACGCGGTTGAGCCTGGAACCCCTCGCAGCGGTTCCGCAGAGGCCGTGAGCCCTGACGGCGCACAGGCACAGGAATTCATGAATTTTCCTCATCCTTTGTTCCCCCCCCCCCTCCCTCCCTCCCTCCCTCCCTGCTCCTCCTCCTCCTCCTGCTCCCTCCCTCTTCCTCTTCCTCTTCCTCCTCCTCCTCCCCCTTTTCCTTCCCTCGTCCCTCCTTCCTCCCTCTCCGCTAGTTCTTCCCGCGTGCGCAATCTCAAAGTGCACTTTCTATTCTAGCACAGCCCCCAGCAAAAACCGATTCAAAAAGGGGGTGGACCTTTAAGTGGCCACCCCTTCTTGCCGTTTACGAAAGTTTCGCGGAAATCCTCATCATCATTGATCTTCGTCATCAGCATCGCCATCGGCATCATCAGGTCCAGGATGCGGGAGCGTCACGTGTGAGCGGGTCTTATATATATATATTTATATTATATACATATATGTGTATGTATATATATATATGTATATATGTATATGTATATATATACACCCCGTCCCATCAGGTGCATGGGGCCCCGTACAATGTTATGCTGCACGCCATTGGCTTGGGTGGGCCCAACGGCAGGGGACGGGGCGCCATGCTCTGGTCCCTCAGTATTAATATAATTGCCAAACGGTTTAGAAACTGGACTTTGCCACCGGAGTATATACAGCCACACAAGTAGAACGCTTTGGGATTTTCCGGCGAACCGGAAAAATCTGGTTCGTACCGGAAAATTCCAAACAGATGCGTCGAAAACATTGCTCTTTCACAGGGATGGCCCGTTCCGGTGAATTGGAACATCTTTATGCCCAGCCGGTGGAGAGGCCAGATTATGCCACCAGACTACATTAATTCATGCCTGTTGGGGGCATTGTGGCTTTTCCTGGCGCACCGGAAAAAGTCAAGCCAGCGCCAGAGAATCATCACCAGGCGCGTGCAATCAATATTGTCTTTTAACGGGGCCGGCCGGCTCCGGTACACTGGAAGATAGGGCGGGATAGTCACATTCGTCGAACATTTCTTGGGTGCGACGTCGGATACCCTGCGGGCGATGGGTCGATTAGGAGGTTGGGACATGGAAAGCACGACACCGATTCCTCTTCGGGGGGGTGGATTTGCAATCGCGGCCCCGACGCTGGCATAGCGCAAGACACGTCGCCGTCGTCGTAGCAGGGTCCGGTTGATTGCCATTTCCGCGAAAATTTCGTAGGCGGCATGCAAGGGCGACCCTGTCCAGTGCGGGTCAGGAAGTGGTGCCACACCAACTTTGTGTGTGACATTTGCACTGAATCTTGCGCCCGTCCGCCTGTCCCGCATGCCAGAGCGTCGAACATTCGCGCGTGGATAGCCAGCATGTTGTGCTGCGGCACGTCGTAACTAACACTTGAGTGCAGTGACAGGGGGTCGTTTGGGGATCGGTCTTCTTCCTGCGACACAGATTGACGAACAGCTGGGCCAGTGTGATCTACCCCAAACTATTCACTAGGCTACATGTGGGAGCGAGCCCACCTGCAGCCAGGTCGAAAGGA